TTTTTTTCTTTTCTTTCTTTTGTTTTTGTTCGAGGAAGGAAAGGTTTATTTAGCTCACAGTTTGTGAAGGTTTCCATCCATACTCAGCTGGCTCCAAGGCAGGGTGGCACAGGGCAGAGGGCAGCAGTTGATGGTGACAGAAGACAGCGAAGAACAAAGGGAGGAGGGAGGACACAGGTTCTGCAAGCAGAAGTGCCCAGTGGTGGAGACTCCCTGGGCAGCTGCAGCCCTGTCAGGCCTCACACCCTGCCCTCCGCCTGCCGCCCTGGCTGCCTGGGCAGCTGCAGTCCCTTGTGGACCAGCAGCAGGCTGTGGCAGTGCCCTGCTGCCCAGGCTGCACGGTGGTTGGAGCTGCACTGCTCCTGAGCTCAGGTGATGCTGCTGTCCCCCAGGGTGAGCTGCAGCTCCGTTAAGCTGCCAGGGCCACTAGCGAGCACGCAAGGGACTGAAGTGCCGGGTGGACTGGGCTTGTGGGCTTCGGAGGGGTTGCCAACTCAGGGTCTGTAACCCTCCCACAGAGAGCCTGCCCTTGGCAGAAGTGGCCCGGCGGCTGGGCAGGGTGACCTTGCAGAGGCTGAAGCACGAGTGTGGAGGCCTGCAGACACTGCTGCGCAACAACCACCAGGCGTTCGAAGGTGCGAAGCGTCCCACGGTTCCCTGTGCCAGCTCTGGGCCCCTTCCTCCTGACTCAGGTCTTCATGTGAGCCCTTCAGGAAAAACTAGAGACCAGGCACCCCAGCCCGTCCCTCGGGGGCCTTGGCCACCCTGCCCTCCTGCACTGTAGCCTGGGTCCGGCCCATGCAGCCTCCAGTCTGGGCCACCAGGGTGCGTCCGCTGACACATCCCCTCCCCCTCCTCTCGGAGCAGGGCAGGAGGCCTTGTCCCCTGTCACCTGAGAACCTGGCTGGGTGGTGGTGGGCCCTCCCCTTGGTTTGGCCACCTGCACAGGAGACTGCTGGAGCCGCATCAGTGTTCAGTCTGACGCCGGTGAAACTGTGCACTACAGTGAGGCTCGGCTCTGGCTGCACCTGTGTCTGAGGTTTCAGGGCTGCTGCCCAGAGCGAGGAGCTGTCCCAGGAGCTGTCCCAGGCAGTCACAGTGTCCCTCCAGCCCCTGGAGCTCTGTGAGGCGCTTTCAGGTGGCAGCGAGGCGGCGAGAGCTGGAGCTTGCCGTGTTGCCCTCTGGTGTACTGTGCTTGCTTCCAGGAGCTCTTTCCCCTCCTCCTTCCCGAGGGTTGGAGCACAAGCCCCCCGGGCTCTCCTGGCCCTCGTGGCACACCGTAGGAGCACGCTCTGCTCTGCTGCCACGTGCAGGGAGGCGCAGCCCGGCTCGGCCAGCACTCAGGAAGCCCAAGCTTGGGCGGTGCTGCTCAGGCTGCAGACGAGGGGCCGCACTTGCAGGGAGGACCAGGGCCGGGCTGGGGGCTGGGGTGCCACTGCCGTGGCCAGGAGGGAGGCACCGCTTGCTGGTCTGGGGCCAGAGCCCAAGTGGGAGAGATGGGTGGCTCTCAGAGGACCTGCCGCAGGCTGGCCCCCAGGTCCTGTGCCCCCCGTACGTGGGTGGCCCTGCGTGGGCTGCATGGCCAGCCATGGGAAGAAGAAGCGGCCCGGGTGCAGGCCCTGCCTCTGTGACGCACACCTCTGCTAGCAGGCTGCACCGAGCCCCTCCCGCCCCAGCCTGTGTGCAGGGTGCTGGGGAACGTGGGCTCCCACTGCCTCTGTGCTGCGGCCAGGCGGCTGGCCAGGTGTCCCTGGGGAGTGAGGGACGCAGGCCTGGCTGGGAGCAGGCAGGTGACAGGAGTGCAGCTGTGCCTCGTCTCCCCACGTGTACACGTAGGCGTGCTGTGTGTACAAGTCCGCAGTGAGGGTGTGC